CAAGGAAGGTTTGTTGGCGAAGATTGGTTTGGTGAAGGAACGCTTCATCGGCAATATTTCCCGGCGTCAAAGCTTTCTCTCTCATCCTTCTCTGCAACCATTCCCCCATTGATTCTCTATCAATTTCTTCCTTCGTTACTCTCTTTCCCTCTTTCTCCAACCCTTACACGCTTTTCCTTCTTCTCTTCCCCCCCTCCCTTTTAGGGTTTTCTCCAATTGCCCCTCTTCTCGTGTTTTCCCCCCACCTTTCACAACCGCCGGAGCACGGAGCAACTGGAGGAGATCAACCACGGCGTTTTTAGTTTAGCAGAGGTGTTTCTTTCTTTTGTCCTCAGGTTCACGATCTGAGGCCGGCCACCCCCTTTTTCTGGCTTCTCAACAATGAGCGCTTCAAGGTTCATCAAGTGCGTCACCGTTGGAGACGGAGCTGTTGGCAAGACTTGTCTCCTTATCTCCTATACCAGCAACACCTTCCCCACTGTCAGCCTCTCTCTCTCTCTCTCTCTTTTCTTCCATTTATGTTGCTGTTGGCTAGATTGTATGATGAGGTGCTTGGCTTGATTGGATTGTTTTATTTGTTTCTTTTTAAGTTATCATTCATTATCCATTTTTCTTTCTATTGCTAGGATCCACGTATATGTCTGAGAATGTTTCATGATAATGTCTCGCATTGTATAAACAACTGGCTTCATTGAGGCAAATCATGGTGAATATGGGATCTATAATTTCTTGTTTTATTTTTTTTGTAAGACTTGATGCTAGAACTCTGGTCTATGATTGCGTTGCAGAAATTGAATCCATGTCTTCTTTTTTCAAATTTTAAATTGATATGATCTTTCCTTTCTTTCTTTCTCAAGCAATGTTTTCTTGGTTTTTTCCTGTTGTAAGAAACTTACATTTTGTTGTTATCTTCTGAATGTGCTGGAATGTAGGATTATGTGCCTACAGTTTTTGACAATTTCAGTGCAAATGTGGTTGTAAATGGGAGCACTGTTAACCTAGGATTGTGGGATACTGCTGGTATTTTGCTAATCTTAATCTATTCTCTTTCTTTTTTCTAGCTACTACATTCTTTCGATGTTGAATTTGTTGTTGTTGTGTAACAGGACAGGAGGATTATAACCGGCTAAGACCTTTGAGTTATCGTGGGGCAGATGTTTTTATATTGGCATTCTCTCTCATTAGCAAGGCCAGTTATGAAAATGTTTCTAAAAAGGTAGAATAACAGATGTTTTTCCCTGGTTTTGAACATTTATTAGTTCCGGAATCATAGTTACTAAAGATTTGTTTCAATCTTTTTGGCATAATGTTCAGTGGATCCCAGAGTTGAAGCATTATGCACCAGGAGTACCTATTGTTCTGGTTGGAACTAAGCTTGGTAAATTATTTTTCTTATGCTCTTTGTATCTTGTCGTTATTTGCTTCTTGATAGGCTTTGGCTTATATGTCGTTGTAGTTTTGATAATGTATGTTTAGGCCGTGCCATCATTTCTCATTTCGAAATCTTAGAAAGTATTATCTGACTGATGAATACCTGCCTTGATAAGTGAAGTATGCTGTTAACTAATAACACTTAATCTTGATTGCTCACTCAGATATCTATTATAAATAATTGTATTTGATGGGAGTAGGAAGAGTATAGGCAAGTATGAACGATATATACTTCTAGAAAGAGCGGCCAGAGGAGCCAAAACTCCAAAAAAAAAAAAACACCCTCAAAGATGAAAAGCCTGCATGCAAGAACTCGGACTACTAGTCAACAATTTTGGCAATGAAAGGGAAAGGCGTGTAAAAATGTCAGTATTATAGGCTCTAGAATGAATAAATCAAGTTCATTTAACTTCAAATCCCAGACCCATCTACCACCGTATCACAAGAAAATCTCCCGTTACACTCCAACACACTATAGTATGATCAAGAGTTAAATTTTCAGATTCCACATCGATTGGGGAGGAGAACGAAACATTCTTTATAAGAGTGTGGAAACCTCTCCCTAGTAGACGCGTTTTAAAACCTTGAAGGGAAGCCTGAAAGGGAAAGCCAAAAGAGGACAATATATGCTAGCGGTGTGCTTGGGCTGTTATAGAAATTGCCATGGAGTCCTCAGTTTAACAACGAAGGAGATGCAACAATGCCCTCCAAAATCCTCAATCCTCTGGTGATTGGCTGTAAAGCTCATATGGAACAACCTGCACCAAGTACTTCACGAAATTGAGAAACGTAGTAAAGTATAATCCATATCCTTGAGGCCTTAGTTTATCTCACATATGTAAAAGAAGAATGTGAGTCAAGTGTTGGGGGAGCATTTGCTCATTTTAGCAATCTGCCCTTCATATGCATTTACATTATCTTTGGGCTTTCTACCCAGTATTTTTGTTTTTCTTCATTGTTATTATATATTGCGCATTTAAACAATCTTCTCTTCTTGTGCTTGTTATTAATTTGGGATGGTGTTTATCGCCTAGTATCTTCATGCGTATTTTCAGCAAGCTTTCAACGCTTGTTAGTATAGCACCGGTCAATGTGATCAAAACAGCATAAACACTGCTGGTGCTAGCTTGTAGAACAGTTTGTTGGTATACTGTCTTCTCTATTGAGATATAATTAGGATCCTTCTGCTCTTCTTTTCACAATTTCTAGTGTCAAGTTATAAGGATAGTGTATTTTTAACGCCCCCCCCCCCTTTTTTTATTGATTGTCTTGAAAAAGTCGTTGTTCACACTAAAAGGAGAACCCTAGAAAGGATACACCATATTGAGACTTAAAAGCACCATTTTTGTGAGGTTTTATTATAAAGAAAACCCTATAAATGACACTGCTGCCTTGCTGTCTAAGTTGTGTGGTTCGCCTTGTTGACAAGTAACACAGAAGAGCTCGGTCACTGGATTTCATTTATTAGCTCAGAGAAAGCCTAGCATGCCTAGACTTTGCTTGCTTCAGAGAGAAACTTTCACTAAAACTTGTAGGCTGGAAGGTGAAATGGAATTTTAATCTGTTAGTATAGTGATGGTGATAGATTTGTGATATCCATAATGAAGCTACATAGTACAGCTAACTGAGATGGATTCTACAAGTTAATGGTATTGATCTTGTCTGTTGTCTTCTCTAATTCGGTGATGGTATCTATTTGTGTGATATTCATATTTATTTAATGTGCTAACGTGCGGTGCCAACATCGACTGCCTTGGATTACTTCTCACTGATGTTGATTTTTTACGAGCTAGATCTTCGAGATGATAAGCAGTTCTTTATTGACCATCCTGGTGCAGTTCCTATTTCAACAGCTCAGGTAAATGATTGTCTTTATTGGTGTTTTATTTTCAAGCTGTTCTTGTTGTGATAATATAATTGGCTCTCATGTCAATGTGAAGGGAGAGGAGCTTCAAAAGCTGATTGGTGCTCCTGAATATATTGAATGCAGCTCAAAAACTCAGCAGGTATTCGTGTTGGTACGAGTGAACTAGTGTTATGGAATTGCAGGTGTGGATTATTAATGTGCTTTTGAACATGATATAACCACAGAATGTGAAGGGAGTTTTTGATGCAGCAATTAAGGTTGTACTTCAACCTCCAAAGCAGAAGAAAAAGAAGGCCAAAGGTCAGAGAGCGTGCTCGATATTATGAGCAAAGCTGTAGTTGTGGAAACATGACACCACCCTTTGTCTGCCTGTATTCTCTCATTCTTCTTTTTTTCTTTCTTTCTTTCTTTCCTTTTGATTCTGTAGTGGCCTAAAAGTCCGATTTATTTTTCTGTCCCGGAATACACGCAATCTCTGTGAAGCATCGTCGGGTAGTTTGTTACCTCTGTCCCGGAATACACGCAAACTAGGAGACGACATGCTCCTCAGTCGTCACCTTATACTACTAGCCTTTGGTTCTAAATATGTACTGATAGAGATATGGATACTGGAATGTGAGGAGGAGTATGGTCGAAAAGGGCATTAGGATTATGCTTGAAATGAAAAGTGTATGTATGGAGGGAAGAAGTGGGTGCTTCAAAGAGGAACGAACATTGGTGGATTCTTTTATTTATGAATTTGCATTCTGACTTTGACAATAGCGGTTTTGTTTGTAGCATAGAGCATAAATAGTTCTTTGGAGTTGTTTTTACTTCAAATGAAGCTGCCAAGCTTGAGTTGCTTGACTTTTTCTTTTTAAGTTCCAATTCTTCTCAATGTTGTGTTTTTTCTCTTTTCAAGTTTGTTTTTGTGGATAATTTGTTTTGTTCAGATCGTCAAATTCTTCATTTTTTAAAATTCTTCTTTTTTTTTTTACCTTAGTTATCAAAACCTTCCTCGCAAGCTTAATGCTTTTAAGATGGTTATTCAATAAAAGCAATGAATGAGATAATATACAAGGTTTGATGAAATGACCATATTTTGAACTTAATCAATTCTTACTTAAAAAAGAATTCAATATTTCAGTTGCATATTTGGTATATTTCTTTTAAATTTGGTTAAATTAAATTATATTGGGATCAACTTAAATGTAACTGGTGGGATCAACTTACAGTTACATGAAGTTCAAGTTTCAAAAAGTGAATAAGTAAAGTGAGATGTAATTTGTGAAAATAGTGAGATATGATCGTCTACCCCCCACCCCTTCGGGACCTAGCGTTCTGGTTAGCACTCATTCCCCTCTCAAATCGATGTAAGATCTCACAAATACACACCATTTGAGAGCTCAACGTCCTCATTGGTTCACATTCTTATCTCTAATCGATGTAGAATCTCACCGCAATCCAAATATATAGTGCCTACTTGATGTTCTATAAATTGAAGTAGATTTGCTTGTGATGATATAAGTTGGTTCAATAAGATTCATTAGATAAAGCTAAAGTTAAATCTAAGACCAACGAAAAAACTCTATTTCAAGACAAATATGGATGGCATAGCTCATCAAAGACTAGTCAACTGCAAATGGAAAGGCAAGTAAGTTCCAGGGAAAACCATCATCAATAATGGTGTATCAAAAGACATTATAATTTCAGGAATGCAAGATTTCCAAAACGTAGACCAGTCTGGAATTTATTATAGTGTTGACTGAAGTCGAAACCGAAGCTTAGTTCAAAAATATGCACAAATGCCTTGACGGGTCGGACGAGCACGCCAAGTGTGTATCAGTCTCACATTACAGAATAGAGAAGTGATGAAAGTCATTTCTTACTATTGTCTCACATCCTACAGAACAAGGAAGCTTTTACTCTTTAACTAGAATCTTGGGACATTTAGTGTAACAAAGAAGCAAGACGCTAACTGGAAACGGAACGAAAAGAATCCAGCTAACTGGTTCCTTCAGATAAAAAAAACCAGACTGAATTAACCCTCAACCTATATATATGGTGAGAAACTGGTCGTAATGCCGTCGATCTCGGCAACAATCAAATTTAAGTTGCTACACTTTTATGGGCTCGTATTTCTCACCCACTGCACCACCTTTCTGCTTTTGGAACTCAATGTACCGGAGAGTGCTGGCAAAGAATGCATCTGCCGATGAATCTGGACTAGTAGTGTCGCTTTGCATTTCAGTTGTGATCAATTCAATTAGGCCCTGGATGGTAGCTACCGTGATCTGCGGGTTGCCCTTCTCGAAAAAATACAAGTATCTGCGAGCGAACGAAACAAAAATGATCCATCTACCAGGAGAAAATCACACTTTTATAAGGCTCAGAACAATCTGAGGATACAGAAATTACTTGTTCAGTATCTCAATGAAAAGCGACACTGGCCCGGTGCTACCCCTTGTTGCATTCGACATTTGCTGAGCAGCATTTGCTATTCTTAATGCACGCTTTAGGCAAAGCATCACCCTGGTTCATCAGGAGAAAAAAAGTTCAATATTTTGAAAGTTCATTATAGGAAGTGCCTAGCTATAAAATCCACAACCAACAAACACGCATAAAACCATTAACAAAAACTTGCTCTAAGTTCGTAACTCACCTCTCACCATCCTTCATATTATCATGATCATCAAGCCAGAAGAGATGCGAGCAAGCATAAACAGCTCGGCATTGATCAGACTTTTTTAAAAGCTTTGCGGAGTACTGTGCCATAAGGTAGCTTTGTTAGGGTCTTCGCCAAAAAATATTCATATTTATGAAGCCGCTCACATGCCATCTCGCAGACAGATATAGTATAAACATGAAAAGGACGTGAAAATAAAGAGTCAAAATTGAGTGTATGTAAACATATGGACATACAAGCATTTTCATTTGAAAGGTTTGCAATCATAAGCACAAAAAGCGCACTTGCAAAACAATGCAACATTCTATCTTTTTTCTTTTTCTAATTTACTTCTCTAATCCTTGACATTCCAATAAATGTCTGACATGTCCTGCATTTTTTGTATCCAAACTAAAAAGTAATAGTACGATTAGATTAGATTTAGATGCAGATTCATATTCATATTCGATAGTCAAATACAAACAATATAATGCCAGGACTTTGTTGTAGAAAGTACCCCAGTGGCTTTGTGGGTTAAAGTATCCCTGTTTTCAACACCAAAAACGTGCATCTTCTGAAGAGTGCCTATTATTAAATGTAATGCAGTAACTTGAGCTTTTGAATCCTGTAAAAGAGAAGTTGCACGACATCATTATAAGCGACAAACCTTAGTGAGAAGAAACAATTAACACGAGCACAAAGGATCCAACTTACTGAAATTTCTTCTTCATAAAGAATGTATGCTTGGGTAAAAAATTCGTAAGCAACAGGTTCTAAATCACAATCATTTGCAGCCTGATCAATTACAATGCGCATTAAAAATTACAGCTACATATCATAATATTCCAAATTACAAACCAGATTTCTTGGCATACCTCAGCACATTGTAGATACAACCGAAACGCCAATTCTGGGGCTGGAACACTTGAAAGGCTCTCAATGGTCTGAGGCAACACATTGGAACATTACAAATAATCAATTCAATATGAACAAGATTATACAAGTTCTTTGAAACATGCATAATCCATCTGTAACATATTAGGGCCACAGAAAAGCAAGCTAGAGGAACAAACATATTTAGAGAAAAGAACCTCCAAGTTAATCACGATTTGACAATGCAGACACATTTGCAATTGCAACCGACTATATATTGCAGTTAAAACAATCTTGAAGGATGGACACCATGCTTACACAAGGAATACAATCTCCCACTCCATTTAGGTAGTACCTGAGTTAATAGCTGAAAAATTTTCTTCGGGTTAGTTGCTGTCTCATCTCCAAAAGGATTTTCTTCCTGGCCTTGCAATTGCCTAACCAACTGAAATTAATAAGCAATTCACTGTTACTACATTTCCATAACATGATATCACCTAACGAGACCATAGCAATCATCACTGACATAATCATTCCTACTTAACCCATAAATAAATAATCTTTTTATGATTCACTCCAGCGATTTTCTTCTCCATCTTCACATCTAGTGATTGTCAGGGATGAGGTCTTCAATACTCGAACACTTCAAAACCTCCACTATATTGGACGGGACAAAAACCCACTTACTCCAGTAGCTCAAACGGACAAGTTTATGACACCAACTACTATGAAAAAGCTTTAATACTCACAGTAACTACAATAAACTCATAATTATAAGTTGCAACAATAAAACGTTATTTTAAGAATAAAAAAAGAATCGACAAAAGAGTAGAAATCAAGAGAGACAAACCTTGAGAGATGAAAAAACAAGGGCAGGAACGGTAAATGGCAGACGCTTTATTCCTCCAGTCAGGATATGCTTCTTGACAGTACAGATTATCTGCAATTAATTAGAGTACAGTACAGGTTAGGTTTCCTCGTGAACATCACCCATCCAGAAGAAACCAGAGAACACCCTCTTAAAATGGTCTTACAAAGTATGCACCTACTAACAATTATTCAGCTTTTCTTCATCCCGAAGGATGCATCCATCAAGCTGTGGATGGCGGCTACCAATGGTTAGCCAACCCCATAGTGTAAGTTGGCTCAAGATGTGAAACGTAGAAGTTAGACATCAACCTTAGTTTGGTGCTCAGGATAGAATTTTATAAATGGATCGATATCAAGTCAAATCCACCCTCACAGTTTCTAATGAGAGAAGATGACAAGCCAAATAATACCCTATGGACCCACAGTCAACTCAAAGTGGCCCCCAAAGCCACACTACTACTACCATTGACGATAACAAGTCATCAGCAAAAGAATGGACCTCAAAACAACAACTAGATGAACTTACCCATCTATCTACCATCTACACTACAAAGTAATGTGACTAACGGTCCAATGAATATTGCCCAAGGGTGAATTAGATACAAGACCAAACCTCTTCCCAAGGCAACAATAATTCTAAGAAATAACTGAAACTTCTGGGGAACTAAGGAGTGCAACTAGGTAACAAAGTGAACGACCACCATCACCAGTGATGGCATGATGACGATCAAGCCACGTCAATATAACCAAACAATAGTGTCATGAACTTCAAAGAGTAGACGACAAATGAAAAGTCAATAGAAGATGACCAAAATTGAAATATTGCTAGGATGGCCACCAAACAAATAAATAAATCAAATGCCTCGATCAGTTGATAAAGATTAGGATTGCATTTTGACAATGCCAAGAGAATTGTTTCAATATAGGAAATTCATTCTGTAGGAAGCACGGTACCACCATATAAGCTTCATTCATACGTTACCCAAATGATTCGACAATACCAATCAAGTACGCAGTATATCTCATTCAAAAATTAAAAAAAAAATTAATAGAACACTGATCCCGTATTCAACTAAAGCTGTTCATTGCCTTTTATCAAGCTCTATAAATGCCTTCCAGAGATAAAATTGAAGATGCATTCACATATCCATGAGATAAAACTTGTATAAATAATCTATAGCACCCCAGTACCTTAAACATTTCATCTGGGTCATCATTATACAACATCTGAATAAGACGAGCAACAGAACTTTGCTCCTCCTTGAAATCATCTTCATCAACCTAAAGAATTGAAGTGGAGGAGGAAAAAGGAATAGATAAAACAACCTCATCATGAAACATTTAAGCTTAAATTTAAGAAAAAGAAAAGAACGATATCGATAAAGGATCTAAGATTATGTAAATAAAGGTATAAACCATTATAAGAAACAAGGGTTTCCAAAATGTAAAGAGAGAGAAAGAGAACCTCATCAGGAGGAGATCCATCTAAATCCTTGATAAGCCCTCTTATCAATTCAAATAATGCCTCAACCTACATAAAAGTAATCCATATAACTAGAAAGCATAATTAATATTAAGGACAAAACAACAAAAGGGCTCGTACATTTTCGGCAGTAGATATTTGAGTTTTATTCTTTGTTATGCTTTGTACAATAACTGTTGCCATCACTTTGATCGTTTCACCATCAAGGTACTCCAAGACATGTGAATAGTTTGATAGCTTCAATGTAGTGACAATGTCATTATATTTTTCCAATGGCGCACTCAAAAGGGCAACAATCTGCTTTGTTGCCTTGCTGTCTTCAATTTTCCCTTTACCAGAGAGTTTCTTCACACATGCTCCCTGAAAAACAGATGATAACCCTAACTTATTATTATGAAAGTCATCCTGCAAGAAAGTTCAGCTGGGAAATTTGATTGCCAGTAAATCCAGGGTTTAGCCGTTCACTTTACAGCACAGTTTCAAACAGCCATTCTGTAGAGGTGTGATCAAAAGGCTTATGAGGTTGAGATGATAGGTGACTGTATTTGTAAACATACAAGTCTGTAACTTTAATAAATTAATAGAAAGCAACTTATCGAGTACAATTGTTTCAGCATGTTTTTACTAGTTTTCTTTTTTTTTTTTTCCTTTTTTTTTTTTTTTTTTTTC